AAATATGGACGGCATCGGAGCACCATCTCACGTCTCTGGGAGCTGCACAAGAAGACGCGAACGGAAGAGAATCGTCTTGGCAACTTAGCCAGTGGTCTGATTGGAAATTGCGGCCGTAAGGCCATTGATACTGACGAGCTGCGCCTGCGGATCCGCAAGATCCCTTTGAGCCGCCGCATGACTATCAAGAGTCTGGCGGCAGCATTGGTCGTCTCCACTACAGTCGTTCGGCGACTGCTCAAAGAGGGCGTCTTCAGACGCCACTCCAGCAACGTAAAGCCCGCGCTTACGGAAGAGAACCGCCTTGCTCGTGTCCAGTTTGAACTGAGCCACACGACGAGAAAGCGAGGTGGTGAGGTGGTATTCGCCGACATGTTCGACGTCGTCCACATAGACGAGAAGTGGTTTAATGAAGACACAGACCGGAAGTGCTACTACCTCGATGCAGACGAGGAAGAGCCCGTTCGCCAGCGTCAGAGTAAGCGCTTCATTAGCAAGACCATGTTCATTGCCGCAGTTGCCCGTCCTCGGTGAGTACCTCTATATATTTATAATAGACTAAAAACTGATCATCCAATTCTCTCTGCAATGTAGATATGACGCGCATCGCAAACAGGCGTTTGACGGGAAGATCGGTATTTGGGCGTTCGCTGAGGAGTACGAGGCAAAGCGCACCAGTAAGAACAGACCCAAGGGGACTATCGTGTTACGCAATGTCGAGAGTGTAGACCGAGAAGCATACAAAGCGACACTCATTGGCGACATCATCCCAGCGATCAAGGCCAAGTGGCCACGGAGCGGCAAGAAGCGCACGATTTACATACAACAGGACAACGCCAAACCTCACGTGTCAGTGGATGATCCGGACATCATGGCTGCAGGTCGCAGTGGGGGCTGGGATATTCGAATGCGCTGCCAACCCCCGAACTCGCCCGATCTTAATGTGCTAGATCTAGGTTACTTCCGCTCAATCCAGTCGCTGCAGTATCAGACGGAGTGTCGCGGAGTGGAAGCGCTACTCGACACCGTAAACAGCGCCTTCAGCGCCATGAAAGCCGACACTCTGAGCAAGATCTTCATGACCCTCCAGACGTGTATGGAATGCATCACCAGGGCAAATGGCGGCAACAACTACAAGACTCCACACCGAGGCAAGGACGCCCTAAAAAAAACCGGCCAGCTACCAGTGTCGTTCGCTTGCTCTGCAGAAGTCTATCATCAAGGCGGGAAGTTCGTCCGTGCAGCTCTGGAGGCGAAGAAGGCTCAAGAGAAGAAGGCAGCCCTTGAGGCCAGAAGCAAGAAGTAGGCCAGTGCTAATACCCGTCTAAATTGATACCTTCACTTTGATCATTTCTGACTCGTGCAAAAGAAAAAAATCTCGGACCGGATTGGAAATGTGCAAAAGAAAAAAACCGGAGGAAGTATAATGAATTAATTATTTTTGTAGGATGTTCGTGGGACCAAACGATATTATAGCTCAGCTACTTGTGAGAGTTAAGTCTTACAAACTAGACCCCAATTACGCAACTCAAGTTATAGCTGCCACGTATGACCATTTGAGACACTTCGCCCCACCTTACCATCCCGAGCTCAAGCTGATGAAAAACCACATCGCTGGGAAACCTGCGTTAAGCGCTAAAAAGCTCGGCGCAAAAGTAGGTGAAGAGTTTGCAAAGGTGACAGATGACCACTGGACCAGATATTACCGACATTTCCAAAAAAAATGCGAACCAATACTTCGTTGCGTTTAACGACTGCTGCCTTGTGAGTTTTGATGAAGAGGGCATGGGCAATGATGGTGGCGACGCAGAAGGCAACACCTTTGACAGCAGTGACGATGAAGAAGCAGACGAACTAGCCGTAATCTGCTCTTTTTAACATACACCTGACACAGAATCAATTGATGCTTTCTGCTGTATCTTCTTCTGTGGCCGCTGGTAATAATGCCAGCTGTTTGTGGATCCAACCAATCACCGGCTATCATTTTATGAATAATTCACAGCGCAATTCCAGACCGATTCCGGACTTCAGAAAAGCCTCAACTACAACCAAGATACTGCGAATTACGCAGTTTTGACTGCAAAAACGGGCGTAAAACCACTTTTTTCACCTTATATTGTGTCGGGTTGGTGCGTATGTATGTAGAAGCTTGTATACAGCATAAAAAAGTGTTGTATCTCAACCGTGGTCGGGGCAATAGAGTCGTGTCGTTTTGCGGAAATATAACTGACCCCGACCTAGAGTCTGTATGGCTCTTTAACTGGAATTTCGATGATTTTCCCTTTGTAAGACAAAATGAACGGCTCTCAAAAGTGTGGGTTTTCTTCTGGAGATCAATTTAGAAGATAAAACAAACGAGTCCTCAGTTTTGACTTGCTTAATTTGTTTTGATATATTCTCATTCTAAGCGATAAAACGAACGACTCGTAAGTTTTGGCTTGCTAAAAAAAAGCTGTAATAAATTAATAAAAATGAATCTGTGTTTTTCGAGGAGATCATGACCTACTTATAAATAGATACAACCGATTTCTTACGTTTTGGAAAAGTAACTTCAAGCTACTTATATTATCTAATTCCTTTACAATGGAGCGAAGTATTCCATTAAGCATTTGCGCCTAGGTTGTTGCGCACAGTTCCGAGGCATTCACCAGCGGTCGGATGAAACCAATGGTAATTCTTACGAGATAAACGATGGTGGGATATTTGATCCGAAGCTAATTGGCTGAGCATAAGCGTAGATACATGGGAAGAAGGAGCTACTGGTGTGAAAGAAGTTGGATCGCACATGCAAACTTGTTAAACGCACCCAACAATAACATAAGTAAAAAGTAAATGCGCAGACCTCTACACACAAGTGCACGATCCCAATGACGTAACATTAAAAAGACGCCGAAGTCATTAGGACCGCTCGCCTTCGCTCCAAGACCAGTCCATTCATTACAAAACAACAACGGCTAGGACACTTCAGATTGCAAGGCGCCGCGCCCTACGGAGGGCATCGCTTCTACGACTCGCCCACTTCGCATAGATACTTCATCCACCGCGAGCGTACTCAACTCAGACGCAGACGTAGATCTTCAGGAGACAGAGGACGAGCCCCTGCGAAACGGAGAGGGTGTCGAGCCCCCGCGAACACATCTGAATCCTAACACGTGGCACCCCCGCTTCTTGTGACGCACTGTATTTGCAGCAGCACTGCAGCGAAAATCTGCAAACAAGAATGTATTCGGTTTTGTTAATATGATTGGACATCCAGATTTGGCCAGATTATGGAACGACGGTTATGTCGTTGATGATATTGACGCCAAAATCTACAAGCCTTGAAAATACATCCAGTCACTTGCTTGTAAAGAAATACCAATTCACATGGCGACACGTAACTCGAAAGATATTTGCTTCATCGATTCGTAAACTAACAATCGAAAGCTACTAGTTAGGACTTGTCTACAGTATTTTTCGTGTGGTGTTAACTGCACGCAAAAAAAAAACTTTATAACATGGAATTTAAGCAGGCGAAACTTGAGCTCCTAACGAGTTCATTTTTCAAAGCTTCGCCATTTAGAAACGCTAGGAGAAAAAAAACCATCTTGTTGATGAGCTAAAAACCGCTGTTCTTCGCAATCATTCAGATTCACGGGATCGCACACCAGACTCTGTAATTAGCATCCCAAACAGTAGTTTTTTTCACTTGTTTAATTGAAATATGTCAAATCAGTGTTCGAATCTGAATAATTTTAGACAATCGTCCAAGGCTTAATTTTAGAAGTAATATTTACTTAGTGCTTTGCTACAATTAGAGAGCGTCATGTAAATGGTGTTTTGCCCCATTTTGAACCGCTGCTACGTTTCACGTTAGTGATGTCGGCGACGCCTGTAGCGTGGGCTAAAGCCTCAGCGTTTGGCACCTACAGTAGGGAGTGGCTAAGATGCGTGCAAGGCGCTCAGCCACGATGGCGATCATGGTGCTGGAAGGCGGTCGACCACGCCTTGCCTTAGACTGGCTGTTGTTATTCTCCTTGAATGTAATTAGAGCCCGCTACCGGCGACACCCATACTTGGCTGCAGCTGCCACTCCTACTCCACGCTTTAGCCGTCCATTACGAGAACAATCAACGAGGAACAGCGCAATCGACTCGCGCGTGGCTTCAGGGACGTCCTTTGTGCCCTTCGTCCGGCACATCGTGAAATGGTAGCGTTATTTTACGGTAGTTGGAGCTCCAGTTTGCCAGTTTATTTTGTCCAATAAAAAATAAGTAGTTGAAAAGAACTGGTATTTCCTTTCCAAACCGGACAAGTACCTACTATTCGATATTCCGAGAAGTTTACGCAAAACAGCAGGATGAGTATCGTGCGCAGGCTGATATTGCAGCACTGCATGAATCTGTCAAGGATATCGAGACGCGTATCAACAGATTAATTATAACTACTGCTCCGAATGGGAGGTCGCTGGTGGCTGTTGGTACGCACTCAAAACGCTCCACGGTGGAGAGGACCCGGCGGTTCAAAACGGTTTTCCTAAATTAGAGACTGCGCATACTCAAATGAAGAAGTTATGGTTCCAGCATCAGTGATCGTGGCATTTATGGATGAAACACTTCTACATGTGTACCCAGGGTGTTTCGGGACAACTGTAGAGAAGTCTAATAGGAAGACAATTCGCCGCCATAAAGGCGAAATTATAATTTCTGTGGAGATCGCGCTTTTGCTGGTGCCAACTATTTGGATATCAATATTCGCTTGCACTGCTACGTTAGGTGAGAGGAATAAAGCAGCAACCCGACTCGACAGAATATGCGGTATACAATTCCTACATGTGCGAGAAATGCGGTGAGCGTCTATTTAGCGTCTAGAATTGGCTGTATGTCGACGCAATTGCTCGGTTGGTTGTAATATCAAGTGTTCGTATTGTACGACGACGTTCAACAAGCCCAGTTCCTTGCTTGTACACCGTTGCGGGCATCGACCCGAAGGATTAAGCGTGGAAGAATTTGACATACGCAGTAGCAGGAATGGCAGCCTTAATGACGAGAGCGAGGTGGATAGTACGATGGATAGCGAGGAGGATAATGAAGAGGATAGCGATGACGAGAGCGAGGAAGGCAGTGCAGAGGGTAGTGAAGAGGAAAATGCACAGGAGAGTGTAGAGGAGACTGAGGAATACATGGGAGGCCAAATCTAGGACAATTAACAGACACACGACAATCTTTCCTTTGGTGACAGGACGAATTTTACCTTGGTGACAAACATAGATTGACTAGACATTCTTGCTTAGTTCTTAGTACATTGTGAACACCAAAATCTGACATAGCACAGTTAAGGACTCAATTTCTGAACCTAAAAATACATTCACGTGAGAATTGTAGCCCAGGTCCACAAATTAGACGTTCGGGTTATGTGTCTGGACAAAGAATTAACTGCACGTCCAGGGCTTTCGAAGCTAGAGGCGGTCGACCTCCGTGAAATTGTACCAGTGTCACCGGGACTGACGGGGTGGTGGGTCATTTGAACTTTTCACCTTCTTTTTCTTTGGTACCCACGCTTTGACTTTGGTAATACTGCAGTAAATCTCTTCGCTTTCCGACCGATGATTATATGGCAGCACATCTTGAACTTCAGATAGTATTTGCACCCACAAACACATTTTTCCAAATTAACAATTCACCCATTTTCCGGTATATCATTTAAGCGCGCATCTAGAGTGACCATGTGACAACGTTTTTGTACAGTTGAGCAGCTTGAGCTCGTTGTACTCGGACAAGAGGAAAAAGACCGAGGAGATCGCAATCGGGTACGTCGTCGCGTTCCTCCTCAGTTGACCTGGAACGAGAATCCACAGCCTCACATAGATCCTAACGTTTCTGAGATTGAGAATTGTCTGTCGTTCGCAGCTGTTTTACCCGACACAAAGCGTGATTTTCCGTTGAGAAAGTTTCCATCCACCCGGTTGATATAAGCGCAGACGCAGCTGACGTAGTTTCACGATTCGATGCAAGTGCTTGGTTGTCCGGGGTGGGTGAGCTAATAGACACGCCTTTAATTACACCTAGGGTTACCGTGAAGAGACGCTACACGTGATAGGCGCCCGTATACGTGTTCGGAATTGCATTAATGGCCTCGCACGGATTGTTCGTGATTGCGTAGCCACAGGGTGTGTGAAACATTTGCCAACGCAATAGCGACTTTCGAGCCATTGCCTTGAAAATTATGTTACAGAAGATTCCAGCTGATGTATGGTCCACCACTCTCCAGGCACAGTGTACTTCATAGTGTAACACGAACCTATTTTTTGTTGTAGTGAAGCCGTCCAATTCCATCAATCACTTCTGGTAATGTTGTGAAAGTAAATGTCTAGCCCGCTTTCTGACAGTATACAAAGCATGATAAAACACATCAGATATGTCGAAAACGCAAACTCAGCCACCTATCCATTCACTGGAGCGTCATCTCCATCTCCTATAACGGCATCGGCAGCTAAAACTTCCTTACGGGCGGGCGCGTTTCAGAACCAGTACGAGAAAATTTGGGCACATTGCGTACGCTTGGACTGTCCGTCGACTCACCACAAAAAAAAACAACAAGCTGGCATATCCTGGATGCATCTGATAGTCCGCAGGTGAATATTGGGTAGCCAAGATCACTCAATTTAAACGTTGCATCAGCATGGAACAGGATAAAGCGGCTATCGGTGCAAAACTCGATACACTTGTTGATAACAGCTCGGCTAGTGATTCCAATGCAGTATGAATCACCGTCTGTCCCCTTGCCCACGTAAAGATACCCATTCTCGACGTCTTGGTAGCCGAAAATGAATGGTTGATTTCTACCCTCTATTGGGCTAAAAGCATGCTCTCGGACAAGTCGCTTTACCGATTGAATTGGGTTTTACTCCCTTGAAGTCTCTGCAAGTATTTAGCGCGATTGCTAAATTGTTCGATAGTTGGATAACCTCGAGGAGGCGTCATAATATCTAATGATCGGCGCGAATGGCTGAGGATAAACTGAGGTGAAATTAAGCATTCATCTTGTTTCAACATGGATTTTTTACATTACTTCTGTAATCAATGCATTGTGTGTCTCTTCACACTCGTTCGAGTCGGCGCAGATATGATCATGTCGATCGAGGTATATGTGTCACTTGTCGGTGGCTTCGCATCACCAAATTTTCCATGTATATTTACATGAACCGATAGCCAAACAGGTTTGCTGGTACATTTTAATCGTCGCTCCACTCCCCACTCGCAAAACTTGCAACATCGAGATGGAGCTGTATGGCTCACGCGGCTGCAGCAGAATTCAATATCCTTGACCTCGTCCAGGGCTTGTGCTGACTCCACGGAATGTAGCAATTCTCGACTGTCATCATGCGTGGCATTATCAGTAGAGAGTGTTTCTACTCTACAGAGCTGTCACATCTCCACCAAACTGTCAACGTTCCACAGGGTTGTCGCCCCTCCTCTGGGCTGCTTCTACTCTTTCGAATTGTGTGGGGCCACACCTCTTGAATGAATGGTTTTGGAACGGGGCACCTAAAGTAGGTATGCTTCTTTATTGTACTGAAATTCACATAATCTAGCGAGATTTATGTGTTATTCTCTCTAGGATATGTGCATATACTCCATGTGACACGTATATATATGCTGATCCAGAAATATCTGTACTGATCGCTTGTTTTGTTGTGCAATACATCTGTATTGTCTGTGCAATTCTACCGAGAAATTTGCATAAGTCAACCATAAGCACTAAGGTTTGAGAAAAAAGTCTGTAAGGTTACAAGCGCTAAGATCAGTACTTAATTATATCATTACTACTGTGTTACACTCAAATTAAAATAAAATAGGAAAAACGAATGTACTACATAGATGTGGGGGGTTGGTTACAAGTGATAAGAAATTGTGTATTCATTTTTAAACTGCCAATGGAAAGAGTACTAAGCCAGGACGGCCACAATGCCGCAAGACGAAGTCGGGCTAGAGGTGCAACACGACGTTAAGCTCTTCCTACAAATTCAAGCTGCACTTCCTGCGCAAAAGCTCGTGTGGTCCAAAGATCATCGCAAAGCAAGGTGAGAAGAAGAAAGAGATGAGTCGGCAATCAAGCAAGATGCAGTACATTAAGAAACAGCTCGACAAGTTTGGGTGGTGGGGCGAGGAAGAGGAAAAGGCTGACGAGGACAATTCCATGGGTGTTAGTCTGGCTCGTAACGCTGTTCGGGTGACTGGGCCGGACAAATTGAACCAGGCGAAGGCGCTAGCAACCATCGATTAGCCCAAGGTTGCAGATACCCGCTACCCAGAGGTTTCACAATAGTTACGGAACATAGATATTGTTGTTCTTTTTTTGTTCTTAACGCAAAATGATACATCAGCATTCTACGCGCTGAAAAGGTCAGACTTGCTAATGTTCGAAATCGCTCGCATACGTCGAAAGTGTACTAGAATTAAGATAAAAGATTATGAATACTGTCTTAGATGAAGTCAGTTATAGCAGTATAGATGCGTTTATGACCGAAAAAAACTTACTAACATCACGTTGAAGTGTGATGTCAGTAGGCCATGGTTGAAACGCGGCCATATAAGATTCAAGACAATAACCAATCCAAAGTCGCTAGGCATCGTACAGGGTGTCGAGAGACTGGCCTTCTTTCACTGCGTCTGCAACAGCATGATTGCATGAAAACTTTTTGTCTTGCCAGTTTCCGCATGTACACTCTTGAGACGGAAGGCCCACAAAGCGCCAGGGGTGGATAAATCCAGGTCGTTACGATTTCCCAAAAGCCGGACATTGTACGCGCCTTCCATACAAGGAGTCACGCTGCAATGTTCAGCAGCAACCTTAAGACGGGAACGCTCACTAGATAGAAGAGGTACAAGTTCGCATCCAGGGTATTTGGTCAACTAGTTCATCCCCATCTGTCGTCGTGCGACACCAGTTCGATCAGCTTACGAAAGTAGAGCGCGAACGCGCCAAGTGGTTTAGCGCTCCGACATTCACTGCTGCCCCAGTTGTTGGCTTGCTCGGTTAGGTTAAACGTAGTCTCATCATATGTCGGTAACATGAAGTGCACAAGATACTTGTATTTAACTCAATGTTTCTTGTCGACGCCTTGTAAGTATTGAACTGCCGCGGATTTCGTACTCAAGCACTTCTTCTCGAATGTGTTGTAGTCACCTTCGCAGTCTCTTCGAGCCATGTAGTCAATTAACCCTCATTCTTTGCCCGTAAGAGAGGCGCCTTTGCTGTTGATGTTGGCTTTAATGTAGCGAAGGCAAAATCTATTCCAGCATCCGGGAAAACTTCTGCAACCACCTTTCTGGCGGTCGGACACAATAGTGATTTTCGTCATTTCGCCCAACGTCTCTCTGGTCACCTTCAGAAACCAAACCCAATGATCGTAATTCTCGGTCGGAACCAGAGCAAAACAAAATCAAGATGTAGTTGTTGTAGTCCTTTGCAACCGCGACCAGAAACCCCATAAGAGTTCATTTTGCCCTTTAAGTGAACTTCATCCAGTCCAAATAGTCACCGTGCGTTAAGGGCAACCCGCATTTCAATACATGGCAGAAAACATGCTTTCTGAAACGTCTCATCACCTTTCTTTCTCCACGCGCCAAAGTGATCCTGGGTTATCTCCGCTATCAAAGTGAATCAGCTTTCCACTTTCTGATAGCTGATCAGCCGGTCAATTGAAGTGCCATCATGAATCTCCTGCTGAATCCTCGAAATTGTCGAAGCAGAAGCATTGAAGCCCTTCCCAAGCAGAAACTCAGACATAGCAGAGCACGCCATTCTATCAGGTTTACCTTGGTATGTAGGATGCATCTTGATCTCGATTAAATGTGTGAGCTCTTTGACGCTTTGCGTAGTATGACACTTGTCTTTTGGTTGTACCTTCGGCTACAGGACGACTTGAAACCCCCACGGGCTTTAAATGATTGTGGCATAAATTGACGCGCGAAATCTTCTAAAACCCGTCCATTCCGCATACGTTCATTGAAAACGGACAGCGGGTATCCTGCTCAGGCGCTTACTTGTCATAGAATTGTTGCCCGTTTAGTTTCTTGCACACGTACTTGGCGTTGCCGCCACCTAGTCCCTTGGCGCTGAAGTGGTCCACAACCAGCTGAAATCCACAAGCTTGAGCAAACTCTTTATAACGTATTTGGATGGCCTTCTGGGACCCATGGTACTCTGCCCCCGCATTGTCACGACGAGCATAAGCTGCTCCGTAGTCGCCTTTGCCTGGTTTGGCTTCCTGAACTGCAACACCGGGACGCAGAAGCCCCATCTCTCTTGACTTGGAAAGGTCGGCGGCCTCGAGAGAAAATGCAACGTCGCCGTAACAGAGTTTCACCTTGGAAGATGCTGGTGTTATCTCTAACAGTCTTGCTTCGTGAGAGCCCTGGAAGTTGAGGAGAAACACTTATGGGGAAGACTCGAATCCAGGATGCTACAGGGAGTTTTTTATTTTTAGTTTAGGTTATAAGCTCTACCAACCCCTCAGACTAAGGTTTTACTGGAAGGCTACCATCTCATCCTTGGTTGTGTAAAAGAAATCACAACACTGCAACATGAAAAATTGGGTTAAATCGATTATTGCTCGTTTATTTCAGTAGCTGAAAACAAAACTACTCGTAGTTGTACTACGGTAGTACTGTTCAATAGCATTTTCACTACTCGAAATTACTATTACTACCAATCAACTGATTGAAGTGATTAAACTTGTAATAGTGTGAATTCCGTCCAAATTTGCCGATTTTGGTCGGGAGAACAATCGCCCACTTACAAATCCAAGTCATTAGTAGAACTCGCCACGTCTTTTCTTGCCACACGTCATGATCTTATTTCGTACTTAAACGGGTCAGTATACGGAATTGTATACGCTGGGCGATTTGGGGGAGGTTCATTCAAAGAACAGCACATGGAAATTTCGAGAGAACTCACAAAAGCACCATCTCAACAAAAAATCTCAGTCATATGGATATTCCTCCAATTCTACCGCTCTCCTCTCCACATCGGCCACGAAGTATTTAGAACACCAGATTTAGAATTCGTGTCGTCGGACTGATCAGCGATTAAGGGTTAGGGTGCAAGAAGTCCCACCGCAAGTAAACGATGCGGTGTTTCCGCGAATATCCAGGGAAATTGAAGTCACCAATACTGGTGCGAAGTGCACATGGCTCGAAAAATGCCACTTCAAAATCAAGGCAGTGAAATGTGTATTTTAAATCAGTTATAAAGGTGAGTATAGCTCTTGAACATGAGTGGAAGCGGAGTCTTTGTGAATTCTCGAGTGCGGGCAAGTTGAGTTGCACGTTGCAGTTCCAGTTTTATCAGCGTGTCTCACCGCGTGACCGCATTTACAACATCATGGCCGTCTGCTCCAGATTCTGTACTGTACCAAGAGCGGCGATAGGGTCCGTCTAACTATTACATTTTTACAGTTTGTATCCATAACGATTGAGAGTATTCACAGTGTTGGTGTAGGTGAGCCGCAAAGACAAGTTGGGCTGTCGAGATTTCCTTGCAGACGTCTTTAGATGTCTGGACGGACCAACCCGGTTGGCAAGAATATACTTCGAAATAATAAACTTGTAAGATGATACTGAAGTGCTTCGATACAAGAATTCCTGCTAACAAAACATGTTAAAGGGACAAATTTCTGTTAAATTGATCTCTTCATCCACCGAGAAATAAACTGATCACATGAACAAATCATTTTTTTTCGCCAGCGTTGAGACGGAGGCCATTTTAATCGAATGCAAACTGGTAAACGATTTATGGTTCATCAGCTAATTATCTACTATCTTATCTGCAGAATTCGGCTCAAAGGAGTACCATAAACAACGGGCAGCAATGCACCCTGGAGCACTATCTATCACAACATAACACCCAGGGTTGGTTAAAGGGCTACTGTACATGTAACACTGTGCTAATTGACATTTTAAAATCTAGATCTAGTCTACAAGTAGACATTTAGAAATGCGAAGAGAATCTCTGTTTGTCCGCATGTTTTCCCCATCTTCCTCCTATCTTTAATGGAAATATAACCTTTGAAAGGGGACTAGCTAAGGAAGGTGACCAGTTGGTCAACTTTTTGACGAAAACGGTAAAACTACAACCACCGTTGCTGCAATGATGAGTATTTACATTTGCGGTGGTAGCGAGGAAGACTCCCAGTTGCCCCCATGTGTGCAGCTTGATCTATGAATTCACTTGACGAATATTTACCTGAGAACGCTAGCAAGTGTGACTTGTGTATGTATCTACAATGTCCCACCTCTACATAGTAATTACCTTATTAAGAATAAATAACATAGGACAATCATTATGGTACGATTTGCCGCGGACAAGGCCGGCCCCCACTCAGTTTCAGAGTTCAGCCGCCGCGGAAGCCTGCAGAACGCCCGCACCGCAGTCGAACACGAGGACGCAAGTAGCTCATCGCCAGGCACCGCAACACGCAGGTATCTAGCTCACTAACCACCGCCGAAGATGCCGTTGGGAGAAAAGCTCGGTCGCCCCTTCGAGCTCCTTTCGCTCATCGGCCGCAAACGCAAGGACGAACAGGACGAACACCATCAGCGTCTCAGCGGCGCTGAGGCGCGCGCCTACGCTAACGCCACAGGCTCGGCCACCGCAGGCTATACACATAGCCACAATCACAGCAGCCACCACTCCAGCTCCAGCAGCTTTTACCCTGGTGTCAAGTACGAGCGCATCACGCCGGCCACGCAGGCGGCGCCGGTCGTCCAGTACGAGCGTCTCACGCCGGGTTCCGCTGCCGTGTCGGCCCCCATTCCCGCTGCGCCTAGCGCGCCCGCTGTAACACATCCGTCGCCTCTGGATTACGAGGCCGCCGCGCGTGAAGCAGCCTTTCCCAGTCCGGACCTGGTGCCGTCCGCGACCGTAGCGTCCAGTTCCTTCCGCTCGGCGCCGTCCCCCGCGCTGTCGTCACTCCCCTCTCCTGGTATGCTCACTCCGCTCACGCCCGCTGTCGGTGTGACCCCAACGCCTGTAGGACGCAGCCCAGTTGTGGACACTATTCGTCCATTGCGTCCGCCGCGCCAAGCTCAGAACCTTGCGAGCCCGGCTCAGCCACCCGTCGGCCCTGCAGGAGCGCCGTCTGCACCTTTCTCTTCAGTGATGGAAGAGTGGATGAGTCAGTTGAGAACTCCGACGCCAGACGTGACGCTCTTGCCGTCGCCTTATGACTTTAACAAGGACACACCGACGCCTATGGACACGAACAGCATGGACATGCGACGGCTACAGGACGCGCTGCTGCCGACGCCCCCACCTGATATCCATGATCAGAGACAACATCCTAAGAACTCGGCGTACGTGACGACGCGTGGACCACGCCCACTACTTGAGGACATTGCGTCTTTGTGTCGTGATTTGAACTCGCAGGATGCTGCGAACGCTAATAAGGGAATGCTGCCGCCGTCAAGTGGACAGATAGAAACCAAATACACGACGCTCCCGACAAGGCCGCTACGTGCTCGTGAGGAAAGTATCAGCAGCGCTTACTCGGATGACGGAGAGAGTCAAGCCAAGATGCTGGCAGCAGCCGCCGCACTCAGCAGTGTTTCGACCATGGGCGTAGCAAGTACCCCGTCGGCTGGCAGCTCGAACTCAGGCGCAAAGGGCAAACGCCGTAAGATGTGTACAGCTGAAGGCTGCCAGAATTTGTCGCGTTCGCGAGGACTGTGCAAGGCTCATGGAGGAGGTCGGCGGTGCAGTGTCGAAGGATGCTCCCGTGCTAGTCAGAGCGGTAGTTTGTGCATTACTCACGGAGGTGGCAAGCGCTGCACGGTGGAGGGCTGTGTGAAGGCAGCGCAGTCCCGTGGCATGTGCAAGGCCCACGGTGGAGGCGTGCGTTGCCGTGTGGAAGGCTGCTCCAAGAGCTCACAGGGCGACGGCTTCTGCCGCTCACATGGTGGTGGTCGCCGCTGTGGTCACCCGAGTGGCTGCTCTAAGTGGGCCCAACGCAATGGAATGTGCATGGCACACAGTGAAGGAAAGTATGGCAACAGCTACCGTGGACGCCAGCACCGAATGGAGCAGCAGGAAGCTCAGACCGTTGTCCAGCAGACTTGATGCGAACACGAGTGTGAAAGATACACTCGCTAGCACCCGGAGAAGCCGAAGGACTCTCCCAGCGAATCGACTGAGGCACAAGGGCCAGCAGTACCATACGAGGAGATGCTGAACGTGGCGAGGTCTCCCCTCGCCCTACGAGGGAGCGCGTGTGTTAGTCACGAATGAAGTGAACCACCCGCCTGATTGACTCTCCGGTAGTGTCGATCGTTTACTTGTTGTATACATTACTCGTTGCTCTAATGTGTTTATCAAACTTTGAGGGTCTGGATTTCTGATAACGCTTGGATGCTAGGCAAGATCTTTGCGAACACCAAAACGACGTGATTAATCAGAGATTAAACGGTCAACTTCAACGACGGAATGCGCCCGACTCAAGCGATCAGGCAAGCAGATACACTGATGGACATTCATGGTATTGTTGCAGACGTTTTTATACGAATGGATATCTATTGCTGCCTACTGTTGGACTGGGTGTTCCTCGTAGTAAGCAACACGCGCATCCAGGGCAGCACCAGCGAGCCACGTGGACGGGCGCCGTAATCCTCGCTTCGGACTACGCACGTGGTTGTAGCTGTCCACGCGCGCAGTTACGCCAGAATAGTCGGGCTTCTCCACGTCGATGAGATGTACAGGACATGCAGCACGGGTGCCTATCTTGTCCAGGGTTTCCAGTGTAATGAACGAATCGCGTTTGAGCTGGCCCTTCGGGGGAGGCATGCCTGCATCGGCCTCCTCGCGATCCCAAATATCGGTATCCCGCCGCTCGGGGAATGCGATGTGTTTGGCCTGCACTTTCAACGGGCTCGTGCCTAGCTTCATGTTGCTCCTACACGAATGAAAGCACGATAAGTTAGCGAAAGAACAATAAGTTGCACAGGGGAGGAAGACGTACACTCGGTGGTATGCATCGGTTTGGATTGTCGGTCGCACAAACTTCTGGTTAACTTTAAGGCGTGACGAAATCGTGCCCATACTTTTCTTGCGCTGGACGTCGGGGATGTTCTTGATAGCTGTACGCCCAGCGAGTCCGCCACCGCGTAGCAGGTTCTTCACAGTTGAAAAGGTGACGGATCCGCGCGATCCGCTCGTAGGATCCTGGCGCCGCACACACGACTGCTTTTTGCTCGAACGTCTCCGCTTGGTCATGCTGGCGCGAGATGCACGACGTTCAGCTTCGTCCCTTCTATCTTGGCTCTGCGTGTCGTTATCCAGCTCTCCTCCGCGAAACCACAACGAGCTTGAGCTAAGAGGCTGGTCTTGAGTGGGTTCAGGCGCGCCGTTCGCGAGGCCGAAGCGGGTCAGGGAGTATAGCAACTTGTGCAGCTCTGGATCGGTCACGAGTGGATCAATCGTCTGCTGCGGTTGCTGCTGGTCACGAGTTGATGAAATGGTAGACAAATCGGAGTCGTAGCTGGACTGGCGCTTCAGAATGCTACGCGGACTGGAGAAGGAGGCTGTCCGTCCCGGTGAATATTGAGGTGATACCGGTTGAGAGTGTGATGAAAACTTGAACGGAGAGCTGGCGCCCTGTGTTTGATAATTGTACTCTGTAGGTGAGTCGCCCAGCGGCAGCTCTGCTCCCTTGGCGAAGGACACCTGTTGCGCTGATCGAGGACTTTCCATCATTTGCTTGGGCGGCGACGGTGATCGCTGTTGAAGAAGGAATGGGTTCTCTTGAGACTCGTCGAACAAATCCGTGCTCATAATTGCCAACACATTGACGCTACCGACAGACCCGCAGTATGCCATCCTACCAGTCCTTGAGTAAAATCGATTGTGCTCTCCTTACCGCACAAATATAATGCTTCGAGCATGGTATCCGTTCGTTCTTGGAAGCATATTCCAGTTTCGTCCTCGCGTCCTCCAACCTTAGTCGGAGTCTGGAATTCAGTGTGAAGATGTGCTATTTCAGCTCTGTAGGTTTAAGAGTGCTACCCTAGTGGTATCACGCTGCCGCGATATGCGCTGAGTCAACGAGAGTGGTGTTGTGATCACAGTGAGTCTATCCACTCGATAGCCTTCAAGTCTCGTTCAAGCCCGATTAAAGTGATTAAAATTTCTTGATGCTTTCATTCGCGTCGAAGGCGGGCATTTTTGCTGCAATGGCAACGATGAAATCAACGATTTCATATCGGTACACTCACGGAGTTCATTATAAATACTCACGACAAACTACTCAATGCTTCCCCTACTGATCCACTTCCACTGCAATGACACGCAATTTACTAAGGTGGCTTGGGCGGCGCCACATTTCCTCGTGGGCCGCACAGCCTTGAGCCTTTCTTCCAATGGAAAGCAGATTCCAGAAGCACTTGTTTACGTCCGCGTCTGCTGTTGTTGATAGGTCTTTGCCTGTGACAGCATTTCCTTGAGGAGGTATCGTTGATGCGCGATCGAGTCCTCTACAGCTTCGACGGTGGGTACTGGCCGGCCGTTCTGGCTGACCAGCGAAGGCGGCATGCCGCGAGCAGAGCGAATCATCTGAGTAGTGTCCAGAGTCTCCACCACTTCCTCATCTAGCGAGCCGTACCGCGGGGCGTCGCTGCTACGGCGGTCCATGCAGTACGAGTTAGAGCTGTCGAAGCTCGTCTCGCTCGCAGTGCTCGACATGCTGCAGTTGTTGCGGCTGGCCTTGGCGTCTTCTAGCAGCTTCATGTCCACGCGCATTCGAGGCACCACCAGAGCGCCGTTCCTGCCGTGCATGGACGACGTTGTTGATACTGAAGTCTCGGAGTCCCGACGGCTGCGACTGCGGTCAGAGGACGACGATGTAATGAACGAGGCCGAGCCGAACTCCGAAGGAGGAACGATCGATTCGGCCTGGGTAGAGACCATAAGGATGCACTTGGTGCAGAACTTGGTCGTCTCGCCCACCGTGCGTGTCACGATGCACGACTTGCAGGCCACTTCACCGCAACTGCGGCAGTTGGCCTTCTTGGAGAGCAGACTAAACTTGCTCGAGCACACGTGGCAGTTCTTGCGAGATGAGAGCGGCACGAACTGCCAGTCGCTGATCATTGGAAGCCTCGCTAATAGTCTCTCTTGCACGACGATCGGCAGCTTGCTAAGACAATTGGCTACACTGCCGAGGAAGGAACTGACCAGCCACCCGGGAAGGTTCTCGGGGTGCCGTACGACGCCGTCCAGGGTAATGTCCGTGTGGCTAGCGTTCTGCGTTGGCCGCAATAGCATGATCTCCGTGAAATCCAGACGTGAGAGTCCGTGCGACTCCTTGAGCGACACGCACTCTTTGCGCTCGATAGACTGCTTAATACAAAAGCCTACGGGGATGCCGTCGATGTCGGTAGCCACGCCCGTGTACTCTAGGAAGCACATGTCCCGCTGGTAAATGGGACTGTTGTTGCTTAAGTTGATCGCCTGCCAGCGGATTGAGACGTGCTCTTGCATGTTTTCGGCGCTGCGTTCCTTGAGCACGCACAACGTTTGTGCGTCCAGGCTGTCGTTGTAGAGGATTTCGCGACGCTCTACCACCTGTGCCGTCGAGTCTGCGTACATGATCCCCATGAGGTCGTTGAGTGACGCCCGTACCGTTCCTTGTAGACGGTAGTGCAGGTCTCTGCTGTTATCTCCGACCTTGGTGAACCGCTTGAAGCCGGCGTGTGATCCGAGCTGCTTCCACGAGCGGTAGTCGACGTTACCCACTTCGCGGTCCTCTCGTGCCTTGTTCAGGGCGCTGTCGAGCTGAGTCTTGGCTGTTGAAATGTAGTTATTCAGGTCGTCCCGGGTCATGCGTACTCGCCCGAAATGGCCCCGTCGAAGCGGAAGCTGCAGCTTCGGCGCATCGTTTTGCCGAGCAATGGCCTGCGCCTCCACGCGACTGAAGTTCGTGACGTTCATACTCATAAAGTATCGACAATCAACTGTCAGGCTTGTCGAGGTGAAAACGCAAACTGAAGGCTCTTCTCGGAAGACCCAGCACTTTGCACGCACTGGCGCACGGCACCAAATGGAGCGAGAGAGAGGAGAAACCACGTGAGATTTGCACCAGGTTCTCATCTGCCGGGTTATCGAACAGAACGGGGCCTGCCGTCGAGCATTTGGCCGCATTACGGCCCTGTACAGAGATCAGGACACTCACAAATCCACGGTGAGCGGCACCCCTGCATCCCAGCATCCAGCTGGTGTCTCGCTCGACTGGAGACTTGAAGCGCAGGCTCATCTCTGCCGGCAAGTAAAAAAGATCGATCCTGGAGTTCGCGCCGTCGCCGTCGTTACTGAGGGCATGTCCTACGGGAAAGGTTGGGCTTTCATTTGCAAGTCTCGAATTCGGTGCGCAGGCATCATCGGGGCAATGCGTGCTGAACCCGATCGGGGCGTACATGTACTTGTGATCCCTACGACGTTGCGGCGGTACCGTACAGTGTTTCGTTTAGAGTGTCACGTTGGATTGCGGGGCGGAAGACACGCCGAATGAATACCAGTGCAACTGCTGCTCTGGTATTGATGATACCTTCACCGTAAAGATGCCGTGAAGCCTTCACTGAAGGTGGTGGTGAGTGGCCTTCTATTCGATATTTATGTATGCTTTTTCTATTCAGCCGTGAAGGTATCAATTCAGTACCGTTCGTAATGTGCACAGTAGTTGTAGATTGTTTCGAGACGTGGTGGTTGCCAACCACTGGTTGGTATCCACCGTACTGTACTAAAGTTTGCTTGTGTCCTCGCATAGTTTCGTCTCGACCGCGAGGTGCGGAGTTGAGAGCGACGTAAAACGGCAGCGAAATGCTACGCTCGACATGCGCCAGTGCAGTTATCCAATGAGCAACGCACGTGCCGAATTCACCGTTCGGTTGTCTTGCGGTGATTACAGGTGTTTCCTCTCGTAAAGCTACACCGCGTGCAGGAGGGACGAATTTCAACGCTTTGTGAGTCACAGTCATCGCTGTCGGATCGGATCTCCTGATTGAAGACGCAGACAGCACTTTTGTTTGCTTGGAGGGCTCCCAATAAATGCGTGACGGGACTGACCGAGAGCTTGAAGCGCGACGCTCTCGTCAGCCTTGGTAGAAATGTCGTCGCGACGACTTGTACATGTACCGACCTACACCTTTGACTCGGTTAGAGCCCGACGTTCGTGGTACATGTACCAATGCTTATCGTTGGCGGGACATTGCCAATCGCTCCGATTGCGGTCGTGAAAATTTGATAGGAGCACATGAAGGAGCGCATGTTTCCGCTGATGTATCGAGGCGGAATATATGCACCGTATCGTATTCCGAATTCGATCTTTGGTTGCACCTGTTTGTGGCAAAGCAAGCCAAAGTTTACCAGTTCGGATCTTCATCATCTGGTCAACTTGCCATCACGTTGCGTCCAGGCTGGACGCAGCGTGATGGCAAGTTCGGACTCCAGGTGGTTGGATGGCGATGTCGACGACGAGCCAAGGAAGAGCTCATGCCGCCGGCTTGCAGCTGCAAGCCAGATTGCGAAGGCAAAGCCAGCAACAAGAAGAAAACAATAAAAAGCTCAGCTCATCTGTCAGCTGTGAAGCGTACTCTTGTTCGCTGTTTGACACGAAAAATTAAGCTGTTCGACTACTGTACATGTGCAAGTCAAACATCTGAGGTTGTTCACACTCCATGTCACCCCTGTCTTGAGCCAGTCGCAGCTGGCCTTCCAACACTTCAGCTCTTCAAGTGCCATGCTCTACGTTCTTCACCTGCTGAACTCCTGCCATTTTTACCGTCCGTGGGCATGGTACAATTTGTGAAGTACCAGGTATCTAGTATATTTCGTATAGGGGGAGAATGCATGTGTATTTAGGATAGTATTCGTTGGTGCTACACACTACTGAGCGTCAAAGGTGCGACTTCGAGAAGCACGATCAAGTTCCATGGCCTGTATCAAGAAAATCGCAATCAGCATAATGAAAACAATAATTGACTTCCAAAGGCACGACATTCCAAAGCTCCATCTGCTCCTTTGGCTATGTGGTTCAGTCTTCTCCTTTTGTTTAGTCTTACCTCTCGGACAACGTTGTCGACACGATTCAGGTGACTTTGACGTGGTGGACGCTTCCTCTTCCCCTCAGGTTTGTTGAGCATCATTTTGTTGCGCATGGCAGTCGTCAGGAATGGTAAAGTCAAGATTTTCCTTAATTGGGAAACCAGAATTTCAATCTGGTGAGCACGAACACCCAACACCAAGACACACCAAAAGCGCTACATGTATCAGCACAGTCGTACCTGTCGTTTGCTGGCATTTTGAACCCAGCGCGGAACACAAAATCGTCGTCAGGACGATCATAGTCCTGTGCATCAAACAAAAACATCGGATTAGTATTCCGTCATCAAATTCTCTTGGCGCAGTATGGTTCTCTTACAAAGTCTGCTGCAAACGATGGATTACTTGGTTCGGCGTTTGCCGCATCAGCTGGAAGGGATCCAGCTTCACGAATGACAGAGGAAACGGGCACTGGACGGCTACAGGCCACACACATGACAGGTTTCGTTCCCATGGCTGTCGAGTCTCCATCCGTTGGCTGTAAAAGCATCAACTCGCCACGAATATCTCGTAATGCGACTTCGAAGCGAACCTTTAGCTGCTCCATCAGCTCTCTTCGAAGTCTTGCCAACTCTTCTGTTGTAAATTCGCGAGCATCTTCAAGACGGTCATCCACCTTCTGGGCGAAATTATCTAGCAACAACCGATAGTTGACATTGGCATTGGCTGCCCCACCGATACCAGAACCACGTTGAGCGCCCTTGTCAGAGTTGATAGCGCTGGAAACCTTCTTGGTGACTTCTTTGATAAAGTTGTCGTAAAACTGCTTCTGACCTTCGGGTGAGTTGTAAAGTCTGGTATCGAGCTCCCGACCCGTCATTTGGGAGAAGAGGTCGGTCAGCACGTCACCTTGTCTAGCTGCTGCCTCCACCATACTTTGACGGTCCATCGCAACTATAGAAGTCGAGTTATTATTGTTACCACCTCTGTTGGCGTTGTTTTCTGCTTGCTGCTCGGAAATCTTGGCGATTTCAGCGTACATCTCCTTGCGCAATTTCTCCATTTCATCCATGACGAGTTCTGTCCGTAAGTTGTTATTCGAGGATGCGCGCCGATTACCAGTGGAATTGTCGGACCCTACATTTCCATGCGTCCTATGTCTGTCGGATGCGCTGAGTTCTGCTGTTAAAGCGTTCAATCGCTCAATGTCTTCCTCAACCATAGCAAGTCGGCGTACGGCACCACTTAAGCGCAACTCCATCTCTCGCAGACCGTCAGGGTTACGTTGCTGGAGACTCTGCCGACGCTCTTCCTGTCCAGCGCGGTTTTCACCGTCACCGGCAGCGTTAGAATGTGTACTTCCATGGGAAACCCCTGCACCACTTGGCTGAGCGCTGTTAACATTGTAGTTTCGATGCCACAATGACCACAGCAATTCAAGCTAACAAGAAAAAAAATACAAACAGTTAGACCAGCCCAGGATACTTATCAAACAGAATTCAAAGGCATGTACGAACCTTTTCGCGCATGGCATCCAGTCCCTTGATCAATGGATCATTCTTCTTCTCAGTTGTGACGTTCACTTGGAGAGTTGCGTCGATTTCTTCGTCTAAATACCGCAATTTGCGAGTGTACTCCTCTTCACGGTCACCTTTATTTTGATCACCTTCCCCTGAATTGTTGTCTGTAATTCGTAACGGCGCTACTCCTAAACGAACAGCATTTTGAAGCTGCTTCACTTCGTCTGAAAGTGTCTGCAATGTCTCTGAAATGCTGAGCGGCGAATTCACTAACGGAGCTATCGATAACAATGTCCGGTGGTAACAGCGCTGCATTTGTTGCAAAGCGTGAAGAGTTTCGTCGTCACTGTTTCCTTGTAAGAGTTTATCCTCCGTCAGTTCGAGTGCCTTACGCCACTCAACCAACTGAGGCTTTGTATGGTCCTGGAATGCCTGATTGCGAGCGAGAAGCTCCTTCTGCATCGCCAAGCGAGCTTCCACCAAGTGAGCTTGCAGATGCTCGTTAAACACCGCGTTGTTTCGTAGAGCATCCAGTTGTTCTTGCTGAGATTGTGTAGTCCCTGAAACACCCTTAATAGTTTGTTGTAGATTCTGCAATGAGGCATCCGTCGAGCGGCGCAAATCGGCAAGCTTCGTGAATATTAGCGACAGATCGAGTTGCGGTTGTGACGTGGCTTCAGTTGCTGTACCAGCCTGTTTCTCAGTCTTGCCAGATTTCCCAGAGTCATCGGTCGATACTCCTGCACTCCCATTGTCCAATCCTCCACTCGACGTGTTACTCGAGTACATTGAAGCCATCGTCTGCTGTTGCACACTGAGATCATCAAGACTATCAGTCAATGCCTTAATATCTGCAGTATGCTTTTCCACTGCGTCGTCGTGTTCCCGAAGTTTCTTGTCATGATCGTCCTGTACAGCTTTGAGTTCCTTCAATTCGTTCATAATGTCGTTGGTGATCAATACAACCTCGTCGTATTTATCGCTCTTTCCATCACGCGACGAGGATTCGCCACTATTGCCATCCTTGCCATTAGATCCATCGGAAGACTGCGGGTTAGCCAACAAATCGGACATTTGAGAGGAGAGCTCATCTAGTGTTCCCATGCGGCCATTTAGCATGTCCAGAATCTGGTCATGTTCAGACACTCTAGCGGCCAGAGCATCTTGAAGTACTTGAAGTTTTCCCAATTCCTGCTGCAACTTTGATGTGGATGGAGATCCTGGCTGGCCTTCATTTGATCGAGAACTTCTTGGTGTTCTAGTGACGCTGTGATCACCACCGCTTCCAGCGCCGGTATCTAAGACACTACTATCTTTTTCTTCATTTGCATCAGCCTTATCGTTGGCATTGGGGACAAAAGTTCGCGCTAATACTTTTTCCAGCTCTTCTCTTAACTCCTTCTTGGCTTCATCCAGATCTTTTGCGGTCACGAATGACAATGTATCAACACTACTGATACGTGGAGACCGTGGCGAATTCTTCAAGGCTGAAGACGTAGCGTCCTCTCCATTCGCATCTGCCACTGACGTTTTATTCTGATCACCAGTACCGTCTTGCTGTTGCATTTCTTGGCCATCTAGTGGAGCTGGACGTTGAACTCCTTCTAGCTGGTTCTGCATTTCACCCACTTGATGCTGCATCGCCTCCATTGCAGCAGCAGCCTCCTTCTTTTCACCTTCAGCACGTTCCCAGCTATCTCGAAGAGCAGCAAGCTGTTGCTCGTGTAGAGCAACTTGGTCTTCCATCTTCTTCATCGCAGCATCACTACCCTGTTGAGCCTTTTCTTGCAGTTTTTGCTGCTTCGCCATCGATGCGCCTAGCGCTTTCAAAATTTTCAGTAGAGGCTCCCACGAAAGGCTATACGAGATGAGCTCCTCCTGCATCATGACAGCGAACATATCTGCGTCAAAACCATCGTTGTCGGTCTCTGGTGAACTCAACGCCGACTTGTCAACTTGATCGCTTCCAGCCATTTCAGCATCATTCTGCTGGTCAAGAGACACAGAGTCCTCCATCCCAACAATACTTCTCGTCTAGGCTCACTCTACTCAAACACAACAACCTAATGGAGTAACACCACAGCCTTTAAACATACCAGCTAGGCGTTTCGAAGTTCCAAGCTTGAAGCTATTTTGTGCACCTCGAAAACCACTATTCTGGGCAAATTCCTTCACGAAAACTGCGTGTTTTCCTACGGTTTCTCTCTGTACGAAAAAAATATATATTAAAAATAAAACCCACCTAACACGCAGTCCCTGTCAAAATCTTTGATATCAAGCAGGCGCACCAGGACCTACGACCAAAAATGCCGACGACACCCCCGTGTATGGAGTGACAGTTTGCCATAAGAAATGCTTGCAGTCGCCGTTGACTTTGATACGATACTTTCCTTCCGGGGTGATTTCCGAAATCCGCCATTCGATGGTAACTTCGGATCGGAACGTGCCCTGGCGCTCCCATTTGAAAGTTGTGTTAGTATCACCATCGTCCAAGTAGATTACCCAGACGCCTCCTTCACTACGACTGCTATCAGCTATCCATCGTTGCACTTCCAAAAATGTGCCCTGAGTTCGCAGATTATTTTTCGGGTGTGCAGCGTGGAAGCGAACGTTGACTGTGGATCCCCATCCATACACTTTCAAGGCATCAGCACCAGCAACCACGCTACCAAATGATGCGCCGGACGCCACACCGTCGTGAATGACTGGGATATTGTAGTCTAGCACCCCCATTCCTTTGATGCTCGGGGGTACTAGACCAGAATCGTTGAGAAATTTGGGCTCAGGCTTGACTTTATGGTACATGGCATCAACCAGGATCTCAAACTGTTGGCACGTGGCTACGAGCTGGTTAGGTCCGAAATGTGTCGATGCACCTTCGTAGCGTTGCACAGCGTATTCCTCTCTTGTCGTCATGTAGCCACAATATGCGTTCGTAAGGCCGGCAATCACGGGCTCGTGAATACTCTGGACCCCTGGTAGCAGTGCTGTTATCGAGGCTAGCAATGACGCTCGAAGACGCCTTCCAGCCATCGTTGTCACCTCAAACGGGACTGCTGCAATATGCAAGCAATCGGCAAAGGAAAATAATTGAAGCGGTAGTACTTTTGGTGACATTCCGTAGCGTGCCGTCGGGAAAATGATTGGTTTTTCCTTCTGCAGCGACTGAAGTTCCGGCAGCGTCGTTACTTTTGGATACGTCCCCCATCGAATGCCCTCAGGCACTGCAGGTACACCTCGACCATCGAACTCCGTGCCACTAACCATCGACACTCCAATACATCCGGATGACGTCGATTTTGGACACTCGGCATACAGTTGCCATCGTTTTTGCAGTTGGATACTGCAATAGTCCACGTACTGATGCGCGAATCTAATGCGTCCAGCAATCGGCGTGGTGGTTAGCGCATCCGCGTAAAGTTTTCTCGCAGAGTCGAGCTGTGCATTGGCCACAGTCACCATGCGTTCAAAGTCCTTGTGTTGCGTACACGGATGTCTCGGTCCGCAAATATTGGGACTCACGTCTCCTTCGTTACTCTGAGCAAAAGCTGCGACGAAAGCTCTCGGTCGATCCATAAAGTGTCTGGTGCCTTGTTCGCGCTCGAACTCATAGGCTGCGTAGCCTTTATTATCCCCCGTTATGAGTGTGTACCAATTGCCCATACTCGTGGGATGCACAGCAAACCAGTTGATCATCCCGATGGGGTAGCCGTCCAGTCCGTCGAACCTCCAGAGTGTCATAGTCTTATCCGTGTCGTGCTCAAAATGTGCCCGTTCCTGCTCTGGGTTGGCCAGATACGCGTCGGCTGAGCGGTTCACGGACGCACCGAGACATAAGCCTGTTGCGACGCGGATCACCGCCGGATGGAGGTTCCTATGGGCTCGCACTACTGCTTCGACTATACCGGAGACTACACACTCGAAGTTCTGTCGATCAGCGCCGTGTAGAGGTGGATGGACGCTGTAAATAAAGTAGTGCGACAGCCCGCCGGGCGCACAATGTGTGTGTGTCGCACTGATCATGACGTTTTCGCGGGTGTAGATACCTTTGGGGAGCGCTGGGTGTGTCTCCAGGCGAGTCACGACCGTCTGCGTGACCCATTCGGACACCATGCCGAGCTCGGCGCATACAAAGACGCAGTGAGTTTGAGAAACTGGGTCGTGGAAGGCGAACGCGCGCGCTCGGAGCCGCATGTGGATGCCCGACGTGAGCTGACCGACTGTAGCGTAGCCGAACATGCCCGCCTCAGCTGCTGGGCCAGTGATGTCGAACATGGCGGCGCCGATGCGGAGACATTCGCCGTCCTCCGAGATGGAGACAGTCGAGTGCGGACTGGGTGCCATGGTGGCGTTTTGGACAATGGCGCCAGAAATTCTTCTGAGCCAGGAGTGATGGTACCGACGGCAACTTCAACAACCTGATTACACTCTGATCAATTGGATCTCGATCAGCGAGGAGGGTTGAAACTGCGGTTTGTGGGGATTTTGAAATGGTGGAGAAGAGAAGGCGGTGGCGCTGAAGCTGCTGGTTGCGCTTGTGGACGCTGACCGAGGTTTAACAGTTAAACTTTCACTGCAAGCAATCTATTCGGGCCAAGCTTCGGCGGCTATTCATCGAACGGCGAGATGGCTTCAAATTTTCAACCAATCGTATGATTGTTTTTATTTTGGGCTGATTTCTAATTTGGGTCTGGAAATGGTGGTATTTTGGGCATTTCGCTAGTCGCATCAACTTCAGCTTCGGCATTGGATAGGTGTTGCCTCTTACAGGTCAGCGACCTGGAGTCACCTCCGTCTTGATCGAGCGGGCGAACAAGGCAGCAACGCCATCCACCAAGTGCTGCATTTATTGCAGCAGTGCCTGTTACTTACCGGGGGGAACTTTGCTTGGAGCCGCTGGTGGCAACTCATTTTCTCCGAAACCAGCGGCGGACGTTTCCTCCACCACGCTCTCACCGAGCAGGACACAGCAGCTTCAATTGAAAGCATTACTGTATCGGATAAATCACGCTCTTCCACCACAACGGAGCAACAACGCTAGCTTATGCTGGTGGATTTTCTGCTTCTAGGATGGAAGACACTTGCTTCAAGACAGCCCATTGAGGCATTCGATGATAACGCCGAGCAGGCATGGTTCTGGACATCGCAGAACCCACCGAGCTGGTTAAGAAACCTATTGCAACACGATTGATAATGTGCAAATACTGCATGAGCAATGCGGTACTGCTGCCTGCGATCGATGCGACTGAGTTCGTGATGTGATCCCTGTGGACTTACACGAAGCACGACTGCAGCAGTGCAGTCGATGAGTGCACGAAGCCACTCAGCTGTCCGCTTGTGAGAGTTCCGTAGCGTTTATCGCCGGTCGTCTTGCTGTGTCCATTGCCATTCTCTCTGGTCCATCTGGTCTCCGTTCTCCTTTCCACATGGAGAAGCGCACAGATCTCCAAGGCACTTGGCTCCACTATGTCACTCCCGCACCGTCATCACATCTCTTTAACCTGATATTATCGAAAAAAGACACTTATAGTATTTAAATGCTGCGGCTGATAAACCAATCTCTATAACCAGTTTCTCTCTACTACACAATATCCCAGAATCAATTTTGACAGGTTATACTGGCTCGTTAAAAGCCAGTGTCGCCCTTGGCAAGGACGATCACAGTCATCGCGCTGCCGCATATGCGCAAGTTCTCTCGCGCCTCGACCCGCGGCGAACAGTACCAGCACCCGGAGCACTTTACGCCCTCCAAGCCTTCACCGCTGCCTTCGGACGCCCCCGTCACCGGCCCCAAGCTCGATCCCATCAAGCCACAGGCGTCCATGGCGGGACTGCCACCAGCGCCACCGCCTGTACTGGGCCGTTCCGAGAGCTTCCAGAACATGATCCGCAGCCGTCGCTCCTCACAGGATGAAATCCGCGCGTTACTGGCGCGCACCACACAGGCGTTGGACAAGATCGTGAGTATCCGCGAGTCCATGGAGGACTTTGTGGACTTTAAACAGTTCGAGAAAAGGTCACAGCGCCCTTCCCGTCCCTCGCGTGTAAGCTCCAGCATCGCCGAGCTCGGGGAACACCCCGCGCGATCCACAACCACGTCTAGTTATGGCAGCACCGAAGCCTCATCTCTCTCAGAGGACCCGCTGGGAAGATCCACGACCTCTACGACGCATTCATCGTCGTCCATTGAGGATGACGGAGAACACGACGTCGACAGGGACCGAGAGGATGAGCTGCGCGCGAGGAGCACGGGCCCAGACGATCAGAATGAGCAGGATCTGGAAGACGCTGAAGAGGGGGATACATTCGATGAAGACCGCTCCATCGTCAGCTCCATCTCGACTGTGGACGATATTGCGCCACTGAAAGAGGCGCGACTGGACAGACTCAAGAGCATCAACATATCGTTCCACGAAGGACTACCAAAGGAGTTCTTCCAGTCGCTTTGTCGCTTCCTTAACTCCGCACTGGAAGTCAAGACTCGACACTCGAGATTTAACTTTTACAAGGAAGCTTTTACGGGAGGCGACGCAGTTCGGGAGATGTTGATCAGTGGCTTTGCAGAAGACCATCAGACAGCTACGAGGTATGGAAATGTCCTTGTCAGACTCGGATTTATCGAGCACGTGTCCCGTACGGACGACCAGCTGCACAACTCCAAGGACAATTTCTACAGGTTCACTAAGGTGCTCGAGTACGATGATCCGTCGGAATCGTTCGCCTCTGACACGGCCACGCGGAGACGTGCGTCCATTAACGCCAATAACTACCGTGAATCGGTGCTCTCGAACGAGTCTACCGACATGGTGGACTATGACTTCGCTACAGCTACCGACGAAGTCCACGCACTCGTTACGGAGGAGGCTTTGCACGTGTTGGCCAAGGTGCTGCACAAGGTATTCGAGCGCAAGAACAAGCTGCTGTTCTACAAGGGCTTCGTCGGCTGCTTCTTGGGCGCCGAGGCCGTGAACGTCATCCGCGAGATGCGGATCGCCACTACACTCATTGACGCCGTGCTGATCGGACAGGCGCTTCTGGACGAGGGCCTGATCGAGCCGATCGCCACCACAGTCTCTACTTTCCAGGACAAGTATGTCTTCTACCGTCTCACCAAGATATCGTCGTCGTAAAACCAAGTCAGTCATTTACTCTTTCACGAGCGAAGTGGTGGTGCTTGTGGAGTCAAAACACGCCTATCGACCTGCCTTGTGCATATGAAAGACAGCACATCTCACACTCTTCGCTTCAGTCCAGCCAAACCGGTCCATTCGTTGCGGTTCCCAACCTTTCCTGACTTCATAGTTGATCCAAGTCTGAAGGTAGCAAGAAACACAACTAGAGGAAGCTAATTTTTGTAGTCAGCGCATATTTAATTGAACCAGCATTGCGCACAGTCAAGTCCTGTGTTTGATACGTTGCACGTTCAGCTCGATGTCCACTCATGTTATTGAAGCTAATGCAAACAAACAAGGTTTGAATGTCAAATTGCTTGGTGTTACTACAACTTTTTATGGTATTCACGTACACTCGTGATCTGCATCATCGCCTCACAAGTTCATTTTACTTACGCCTTCATCGACTTTGTTCCCGTGGGACTTACATCGTCGCCGTGGAGAATTCTCTCGAGGTCCTCTCGGTTGACATGAGCAGCTTCCTCGAGATCCTGGTCGTGCTTGACGTCAAATTCCTTGCCACGAGCCTCAGGGCCGATAATTGTCAACAGGAACACGTAGACATAGACTACACCTAGGAAGATGCAGATCACCTTGCCATATTGGTAGCGGCTCACTCCATCCTCACCGTCTGGTAGTGGGAAATGTTCGCCAAGAGAAGCCTCGATAGTCGACGACGCCGAGGAAACCAGGTTACCAAGTTGGTAGGCGGTACCAACGACGAACGCACTGTACGACGGAGGAGACAGCTCCATCAGATGGATCGGGATGACACCCCAAGCACCTTGAACGCAGAACTGCTCGAAGAAAGCAGCGATCATGACGCTCTCGTCGCTAATGTAGCAGTAGGGGTACAGAAGAGCAGCACCGATGACACACATGACTAGGATCGAGAGGCGACGACCAAAGACCTGCGAGTAGTAGCCGACAAGAGTACCACCACAAATGGCACCGAGGTTGGCCACAACTTGAGTCACAGTGACTTGGTTTGAGTTGAACTCGAACTGGTTCTCAAGCATCGTCGGATACAGATCCTGCGAGCCGTGAGACTGCAGTAAAGACCACGTTAATATCTTCACAAAGGTGCAGTAACCAAGACAACTGAACGTACCATGAAGTTGAAGCCTGCCATGAGCAGCACCATGTAGCAGAGCAGTAGCCAGTGGCGCTTGAGTGCGATTTTACCCTCTGCCACGAATGTCTTGGTCATGTTGTGACTCGCTTCACGTACACGTTGGCGTTCCTGGAATACCTTGGTCTCGGGTAGATACAGACGGAAGAGGATGATGAAGATCGGCGGACAAGCTCCGAACCAGAAGAGCGGACGCCAGCCATGGCTGGTAGTGTTGACGAGCGCACGAGCGAATACAACAGCTAGCAGATAACCGAAGGCGTAACCCTGCTGCATCATACCCGAGACGATTCCTCGAGCTGCTGGAGGGCAGTCCTCGAGCGCCGTAGCTGCGACGTTGCCGTACAGACCGCCCATAGCAATACCGAAGAGCGCACGGACCCACAAGAACTGCGTGTACGTCTGACAGAAACCCGTGGCCAGCTCTAGTACGATGAAGAGCACATTGTTGACTACAAAAGGCCATTTCCGTCCCCATCGATCGGATGCGATACCGAAGATGATAGAACCGACCGAGCGCAACATTAGCACGAGTGTGATGCCCCATGTGATGTCGGTCTTGGTCTTGCCGAAGGTCTCGGCCAGGTCTGAGACTGTCATGGAGACAGTGAAGAAGTCGAAGGCGTCCCAAGACCAAGCGATGAACGATACGAGGAACTGTAGCCACTGCATGCGGTTAAGCAGCGCCAACACTTTGAGCGGGTTCTCCACCTTGGTCATGGGCGGTTTGAGTGTCGTGAACCGCGTCTTGCAGTACTCCCCGAACGAGAGTTCTTCGTCATTGCGAACAGGGTCAGCCGCGTGGTCTGATCCCTTGGGGGTCAGCGCCACCTGGTAGTCCGTCACGGATGGCATCGTAGATTACCGCAGGGATCGGGTCGAAGCTGCTGGTGCTTGTGCTCCAAAGCGCAAAAAGGATAATGAGCGATTAACGAGCGATCGAGTTTTGCTGGACTAAAGAGCGGTGATGTCCGGGGCAGCGTAGGTTGCACTTTGTCGGCGGTCCGGCTCAAGTATCAGCGGACAGGACAAGTACATGTTGAAGCTGAGACTCGGACTTGGTTTAACAGTGACTGAGACGGTGCAGTGACCACACCCTTCAACGTCGCGCATAAGTGGCGCATCTTCAGAAATTGACTCGCCTTCTGTATGTCGACTGAAGTTTGACTAGCAAGATGAGGCGGGAGGTTCATGTCGGAGCTTCAACCACGTTGGTAGATTTGCGAGGAAATGAAGGCAGACGACGTCAAGACATCACGCCCATGACGGCCTTCATCTCTGAACTGCGTCGCTGTTAGGTAGATCTGACTGCAGTACCGTATCGTGCTTTTGCCAAGGCATGCAACACCGACATGTGCGTCGACGTTTTTTTTAATCTGCTGGACAACTTGGCAACGCAAGGCACGATCCTTGCGTCTCAAGCAGGACAGAAGGCCAACAACATGTACTTCGAAGTACGTACCACAAGGTATTACTGTATTACATGGCCAAGAGTTGCGGTGCTCCGCGCTTCACCAATCGTTTTCGCAAGTTGCAAAATGAAGCAAACCAACTGCAACCCCCTTGAAGCACCGGCTTCGACAAGCCCACCGTCATGATGATCGTGATATGGTGGCTTTAATATGCACGACGATAGCAACCTCCATGGAGCTTCGAGTTTTCGAGTCCTGGCTCAACCTCAAGTCGGCTATGTGATTTGTCTCCTTAGCTCATCTCCAGCTTCTGAAGTATCAACACCCTCGCTCAGAATGATCTGTTGCTCAGATTGAGTTTGGTATCGTTTAGTCGTTCAAATTAAGCTCTCTTCGAAACGAGAGGACAGGATATACGCGTTGCAAAAGGCTCCTCGCATACGCTTGCTTTGACTTTTAACTCGCTTGGTGCATGTAGTTTTCTTTTTCGCAGGGTAGATACATCAAGCGAGGGAATTCATCGGTTATCGTTGAACATTTGCGTCCAATGCGACTGTCTTCACCGTCTCTCTTCTGAGCTCGTTCATCGTTGTAGTTCATCGAATCAAT